CATCAGAGGGGGTGACGGACCCTGTGTGAGGTCATGGTGTTTGGTTTACAGCTGTGGTGCCAGGCTGGAGACGGCAGCCACTGAGTTACAAAGGCAATGGAGGTGCCTGTGAAATGATATTCCTCAAGATGACAGAATAGTTGACATGCACTGACATTTAAAAGTCAGTATGAAAAGAATACTATTCTTGAATGGTCTTTAATGCATTTTGACTGCTGAAAGTCCTCTTTCAAAATTGATAATGTGCTCTATGAAAAGTTTGTTAAACATGTAATGTTTCAACTGACAATTAAAAGGGCAGAAAAAGGATGAGATTCTGAGTAACAGATAATATAAGAGATCTTAAGCACCAGAATAGCCCCCTGGTCAAGTATTAAAAGTGTTTAGGCATAAATATAACAGAAAAGTATTAGGTTCGTAGTGCTGCTGTTTTATTTATGTATTCATTTGTTTAATTTAATTACACATATTATTTGATTTGTTGTCAGTTTTTTGTTTTGTGGATTTAACTGTGCTTTGTCCTAAATGCAGGTTTTGGCATTATATCATCTTCTGACTGTTGAGAATAACAAATATTGAAAACGAGAAGCCTTAGCCTTTTAGCTGCTGTAATCTCTTTTTATAATAATTCTAAAAAGTGCCAATTCACTATAGCTACGACCATGTACATGCATGCATCCACATATTGACGCATTCACACACACAACCTCTGAAACACTTGATCGCTATGACACATTTCAACATCCTAGGGTAAGCTGGCCACCACGGGAAAAGGAAATTAGGTTTTAATGAGATGGTATGCAAGATAATGATACAACTTTAATTTTATGTTAAAGAGAGACGTGGAAACCCAAACAACTTGAGGGTAAGATAGACCGCTCCTTGTCTGTCTCTCAGTCAGCGCAGACAGTTAATTCCCACTTCCCCATGGGACGCCCTCTCTGAGCGCACACTCCCACGGACGGATTCTAGCTGAGGTCGTTGCATCTTCCTACATCTTCACCCCATCTTCACCCCATAGAGCGTGGAAATCAACTGGGATTATCTACTGCCTGCAGGCATTTGGCTTGTGTGTGTGTGTGTGTGTGTGTGTGTGTGTGTGTGTGTGTGTGTGTGTGTGTGTGTGTGTGTGTGTGTGTGTGTGTGTGTGTGTGTGTGTGTGTGTGTGTTTTAGGGTTCAAAAGAAGTATGCTTACCTCCAGAGACAATGCTGCATACTCTTACAGTACAAATAACCAGTCTTTTCTTTTTGGTGTCTCTATATTGCATGATTTCATAATTGTTTTGGTCTTTAAGACGTATTATTATAAACCACCTGTTCTACCACCTCTTTTCACCCTCTGTCTGAAACCAGAGCCCAGTCTGCTCTGTTTGGTTAGCTGGCCGGCTCTGTTGTGATTGGTCAGCTGCTTAGAGATGTGCCGCCCCTTATCACTTACAATGTGTTGGAGCACTAGCCAAAAGAAGCGTGAGTGTTACGTATGATGTCACTATGTTACAGACGAAAACATAGGATCGAATGTAGGCGTTTCGGAGAGAAACTCCCTCTGGAGGGAACTTTGGGATTTCAGCCTTTGCAGACCATTTACATGCACACAAACCTAAATAACACACTACAGGAAAGATCCCCCCAAAAAGCTTAATAATGCCCTTTTAAAATCCAATAGAATGTAGATTGCATATTTTCCAATGAACCTTTTCTTGATTACGTAAGAGTGATCATAGAGGTGTGCAAATATTTAAAATGTGTTTTCTTCATGCATGTGTGCACAATTTAGAAACCATGTGCTGCTACATGCATCAAAGTGCCTGCATTAATAACCATTATGTGTTGTGCACCGACAGAAATGTTAAGAGAGTTTCATTTTCATGTTGTTTTATGTTTGTTTTGGTCACTCACCATTTACCTCTCATTCCAGGCTTCCTGATTGTCCTCCCCTTGTGTGTCTCCTGTGCTCATCAGCACCAGCCCCGCCCCTCATTGTTTTCACCTGTGTCTTGTTGTCGTGTGTTTAAATTCCCCAGTCTCCCAGTGTTCATTGTCAGTTCGTCTTGTCTCATGCCTAGGTCAGATCTATGCTCTCCTTGATGCTAAGAAGATTTTGTTCCTCACTACGTTAGCGTTTTTTTTCCGTACCCATATGTCATCTCATTTTGAGATTTGATAGTGTTTATTTTTGTTCACCTACTGAAAATAAAGTATCTTACAAGTACTTTACATCTGTCTCCTGGGTCGTTGCAATTGGGTCCTATATCCTGAGTATCTGAGTTCGTAACATTATGTGGACAACAACGTGTGTACGACCATCGGCTTGTGTCCACCTTTTGTTTAGTTGTCGCTCCAGGCAGCTGTGGCCTCACACATCTGCCTGTGTTTATCATGGTCAGCTGGTTCTGGTGCTTCCATTCCTTTAAATAGGGAATTCACTTGTTTCGGTGGGATGGTGGAGTAACAATTTGCTTTGTTCGCATTATTTCTGGTTTAACTCTACAATATCTGCCTGTATATTAAGAAGCAGAGTGTCTATTGTGTTTAAGAGGAATATTATATCAGGAGATTCCCTGACAGTCATCGACAGCTGGGGATTTATTTTTCCATAGATTGAAAGGAAATTGGAAAATACAATGATTTGCTTTCTTGCACAGACTGAGATGAGAAGATTGATACCAGTCTCCCATACCGTCCGTGGCTCCATATTTCCCTTTATTATTTCTTACTTCATATTGCAATAACTGCCATTTTCTCTCTTTGTCAACATTGTTGAAGAGGACTCGCATACCTTGTTTAAATAAACTTTATTGGATGTGTCTCAGGATAGAAACCGACTGGGGGTTCGGTTTTACGCTCAGTGTGAACTCCACATCATGGCCCTTCGATTGATCCGTAATGTGAACAAGTGGCAAGAAGAAACGCTGATAAAAAGTATAGTCTGAGATAAAACTGGTTTTACAACAAGTTGTTTGTGTGGGACTATTTCCTGTCCGAGTGCAGTCACCTTCTGCTTCGCCAACCCTATGACGAGAAGACCCCAGAGATTCTGAAGACTGTACTATGTTTACTTGCATATAAGACTAAAGGGGGTGTCAATTGTTTTCTGGTTTTTACGCTAAACTGTCTTCTGTCTCTGGATTTATATTCCCCGACAGTAGTAAATATTTCCTCATCTTAGTCTTGGCAATAAAACAAATAAGCACAAAATGCTGAACTATTCCTCACAGTACAGTTTACAATAAAGGAAAGGCTTGTGCCGGATGGTTTTAGATATTCTTTTAATCCCATTTTTTTTATAAGAGCCCAATGTCACAGCTGCTCACCACTGCTCAGTGTAGCCAGTTCACTGCCTGCATAAGTGTGGTAATTAATAGGCTCATTTCCAACATGTGAGCTTCAGAGCGGATTTACACTCACATGCGTTACTGCATGCTGCAAAGCAATTTGATGCATGACTGTTTGGGACAGGCGCTAAGCTTTTGTTTATTACTTGTCTGTGCAGTGTTGCGTATGAAAGCCCTGAGAGGGCAGTGTGAAAAACACAACTGTGGTCATGTGTTGCCTGAGTCTAATTTAAATTGTTTAGTTATCTCTGGGTTTTTTTATCAGGTAAAACCAAATAGGTTTTGCCTAGAAAATCTTTCTACGTTCCTTAATGTTCCCATATCTTCTCGGATATGCTCTATAGGAGTTAAAGCAATTGTGTTTTTCTCAGATAAACCTTAATTTCTCCACGCAATCTAAAACCTAAGGTTCATAAAGTGTGTGTGTCACACAATTAACTCGTGTTTGAAAACAATCCTGGAGGAAAGCATGAATGTTTTCATGACTATTGAGTGAAATGGGCACTGTGGAACTTCAGCCTTTTGTGGCCGAAATGACTATTACAAACTTATCCTTAAAAAAAAGTTGTTCTCTTTGCAAAAACATGAATTTGACCTGTTCTTAGTCATAAAAACAGAAACAAATTATAATAACAAGAACAGGGATAAAAATGGATGTCAACAATTTAGTTTTCTCTCCTGCCTCTCAGGGCTTCCGTAGTTTCAATGTGGTAAGTTTTCTAAACGATAACTAACTGTATGTGAAGGTTGATGTAGTTAATAGTTGACCTGAAAACATCACTCATTTACTTTAATTTCTATTATTGTCAGAAATATTAATAAAAAATCACAGCTCTACGCCTCTAGCCTTTTGGCTACATTCACTCAGACCATTACGCTCATTGTCTTCAATAGCACACTTCTATTTTGTCTGGACACTTAAGCTTTCTCAGAATTGGGGTCACATAAACACACAGCAGGATATTGTTTCCACTGAGAGCTGCCCCATCTCCTCTTTTCTCAGTGTTCTCTGAATTGTTTATCTGAGTCAGGTGTGCGGCCTGTGTGCCGCATGTTGCTTATTAACTGCAGCTGTGCAAAGCAAAGACGTCTGGTTGTGAGTCTACATTCGAACATCAAAGCCTTCCCCAGATCTTTTCTCCTGCAGTTGCATTTTTTTGTTTTTGCCCCGTCAGTTCTACCCTCCCTTCTGATCCTAACAGGACCAATTATTTAGTTAACTGTTCCTGCACAATATACTGGGTGGAGATGTCTGGTCTCCTCAGGAAATTGCTCCCACAGCCCAGGCAAAACGACAAGACCATTCCCACACCCATTGTTTTAGACAATAAATGCTGAAGTGAAACAATAAAATAAAAGATGAGGTCATTTTTCCCTTAGTAGAGCAAAAATGAAAGAACATATTTTGGTGCAACTTCATTTTATGGCCTAAAAACAAAACATTTTCACCACAATGCTACTGTGTTCGAAAGTGATTTTAAAGTTGGAGTGGCCAGTCTGTGTTTGTTTCTGTTTGTTTACAAATGTGTTTATGTGGAGGGGAGAGGAGAGCCTCGTGGTTCTGCCCTCCCTTGCACTGTATGAGGCAGTGTTTTGGACCGGGGCCCAGCACTGAGCCTGAGGCACGCTGCTCCGCTCCAGCCTCTCCAGAGCACCGATTCTCACTGACATTACATCAGCTCGGGGAAACATAGTAAGGACACTGTGTGTGTGTGTCAGAGTACATGCTCCTTTCAGCTTGAGCACAACAAAGTAGTCGGCACATTTCTCTCGGTTCTGAGGCGTCATCAGCAGCTGTAGGAAAAGGCATTAAAACCATGGCTGTGCGCATCATACGTGGGATGGAAGACCTGGTGGCGTCGGGCAGTCAGCTTGTCTGGAGCATGGCACATCAGACACTGAGGAGCTGGTACAACAGCGGGCTGATGCCCTGCAGGCGCTTCCTCGATGCCTGGTTCACGATTGGGAAATGCTACCAGGTATGACAGCTCCTTGAGCCATGGCAGCGGAAACAATTCTGTATAAATAGTTTGAATACAGCGGTTTTGATTTGTTTGCTTTATTGGCTGCATGTTGGATTCATTACTGAGTGCCAGATGGATCTCTTGAATTGAACTTTTATGGATTGGATTACTTATAATCTGAGTCAGTGCTTTATTCTCATCTGGCTCATTAGTGTATGCATGTGTTTATTGTTGTGGATGTGAGGAGAGACAGGCTCTTGGTGAGTCACAGAGCCTGTCTTTTAACAAGGGTCTCTCCCTCAGCATATGGCAATCATTAGAAAGCAGCATGACCGGCCGTTTGATCTCTCCGCCTGGCTGATGAGGAGAAAGTTTTCAAAGTTGTCTTTGAAATGCATTGTTGGAACACCTGAACGCTGTCTGTGGGGTAACTCTATTGAAAATGGTCAGGTTTCTCTAGTTTGATTTTTTTTTTTGTCTGAGTGTATTGCTATGTGAAAATGTATTAGGGTCTATGAGCTATATTTACCCCCATTATTTACCAATACAAATACAAAGATAAAGTATAAATTAGAAATGAAAATGTACCTGGTGACACTTGAGAACATTTACATTAGGATAGTTATTTGGATCTGCAATTCCCTTTAAATGCTATGAACGAATGAATGGGCGAGGCATAAGGAGAATAAACAAGAGGAGGATTTTTTTACTTTGAGAATATGTCGAAATGTCGATAATTTGCAGAACAAATTGAACCACTAGCTTCAGCAAATGAGACATTATTCTCCATATCGGATGGCTGGCCCTAAATCTCTTCTGTAAAAACTACATTCAACACCTGAAACTCTTTAAACAGCCCTTTGAGTCTGGTGTTATCTTGAAATGAGGTGTAAGAAGAAGCACAAACATCAGATCCCTTTTATTCGTTTTCCCTTCTTCCCGTTTCTGAATGAGAATTTAGAGATTTAGAAAGTTAGATCTTGCCTTCAAGAATCAAAGTGAAAGTACTGAGTGTGCAGAATTGCTCCTGTTTGTGTGCTGGATCCTTATTACACATGCGTTAACATGCAACCACTTCATTCATTTTGTAGCTTCATTACGCTTTTAACCAGGTCTACCTATTGCTTCATAAGGCAGTAGAAATGCATGATGGCCCCAGTTCATCCTGGTCAGGTCAGTGGGCCTTGGGGTCATGTGAAGGAGGCACAATCAAGGCCGTAATGACAGAGCTTAAGGGGGACGACCTCCCTGTCACTGTGATGACCTTTCCTTTAACATCTGGGACCTCGCTCTGAAGCTCAGGTCCTCTCTGAAGCTCAGGTCCTCTCTTCTGGGACTGAGTGCAGTGATCTGTCAACCTCTGAAATATAGAAACTTTCTTTGAAGTGTTGCCAGTTCTTGGTTGTTAATGCAATTGTGAATATTCTACAATATATCTATATCACAAGATGCACTAAATCCTAGGTGAAAAGTCCTTGAGCATTCAGGTGAAAGCACTTGGATTTGAATTAGCATGCATATATTTTAGTGTTAATCTTACACTCAATGGCTGGCTGTGAGCTTGACTGTTAACTAAAGGCCTTTGTCCATTTATGTTTTGATGTCATTGCCCTGCAACAATGCAGCATTGATAAATGGGAAAGGCTTGTGCCCTGGACAGACACAACAATTCAAGAAAGGGTTAATTCAATCATGAATCCCAGATTAAACTATGTGTTGCCACAGTTATGTTTCATGTCATGATACATTAAATCCAGGTGTGGTTTATATTGAGGTTAGCTTCAGTTGTTTTATTATTTTTATTTTTATTGGTCAGGGTTAGTCTTTCCTTTGAAAGACCTCTGAGATGGTATTGTGGTGAAATGTGGGGTTAGCGTGACTACATATTAAAACGTTTGTTAAGAAGTACAGTTTTAGCCGCAGACCCTAAAATCTCACTGTGGTTGAGGGCGTTGAAAAACAACAAAGTGAAAAAGCAACTTGAGCCGTATAAAGTGGAACGACAGCTCTGTTGTGGTGCTCAGAACAATGTGTCCTAGAAGAGTGACGTTTTACACACGGAGCCAGAGGGCGTCTTCTTGCTGGACGCGAGCGTGACCCTCACTTTCCAACACAGGAGCCAAACACTTGGATGCCACATGTGTTTAACTGAAAAAAAACAGTCATTTAAGTTCAATGCTTGAGGTATTTCAGAAGTTTCACAGTGTAATCGAATACATCTGCATCTTCTCCATGAAATCTGTACTAAAAAGAGTAGTCTTAAAATATGACATAAAGAGGCAAGCATGTTACTAAAGATTAAACTAAAAATACCTATTCATAGTAAAATATTAAGTAGCAGCAATTTAAGATGGTAAGTGAACATAATGAAGCTGTTGAAAACGGTCAGGAATAACCATTAGTAGATTATGAAGAAACAATGTAGAAAACCACATAACAGTGATTATTGCCAGGAAGATGATCATAAAGTATCTTCCCAATACTTTTCTTATGAAATACGTTTTTGTTTGTAAAAGCGATCTAACAGTCCTGGTGGAAATGGGTGCTTTTGGTTTACTTAATGGTTCTGGCATGCACTGCTGTCTCTTTTTCGTTACCTCCACCATATCAAAGTATATATTTTGTGTAAGCCAGTTATGTTGAATTAATGTGACTTCTTTAAAGAAGCCTTTAAAACATGAAATGCTTCCTGTGGCCAAAATGAATATTACAAAAACAAAGACAAAACGATCTTGGCAAAAGAAAACCTAACCAACATTGTTTTGACCTGTTTTGAAATATAACAAAGAATTACACACGTTTTTTTTTACTGGTTCTTAACTCATAAACACAGGAAAGAAAACCAATTTAGATCAGACTTAAAGGTAGGGTAGGTAAGAATGGAGAAACCAGCTAGAGTGCGCATAATTTGAAAGTAGGCAGCCGCTTCCTTCAGACTTCCCTACAGAGCTCCTCCTCCAACACACACGAACGC